CCATATCCACTATCTGTGAATGACTTTATAAATGTTGAAATTAAAAAAATGCTAAAAGACGGTATAATTCGTCAAAGTAAGAGTCCATACAGCTCACCCGTTTGAGTTGTACCAAAAAAAGGAATAGAAAGAAATGGAACACCAAAACTAAGAATGGTGATTGACTTCAAGAAATTAAATGAACAAACAATTTCGGATAGGTATCCAATACCTGATACCAATGTTATTCTTTCCAATTTAGGAAAAGCATCATATTTCTCTACAATAGACTTGGAATCGGGATTCCATCAAATTTTAATGAAAGAAGAAGACATTGAGAAAACAGCTTTCTCAATAAATAATGGTAAATACGAATATTTTAGACTACCATTTGGGTTAAAAAATGCTCCTAGCATTTTTCAAAGAGCAATGGATGATATATTACGAGAATATATCGGAAAAATTTGTCATGTCTATATAGACGACATTATAGTATATTCAAATTCCTTAGAGGATCATGAGATTCATTTACAAAAAATAATAAAAACCCTAAAAGATGCCAACATGAAAATTTCACTCGAAAAATCTAAATTTTATCAACAAGAAGTTGAATTCTTAGGATATATAGTCTCCTATAATATAATTAAAACCGATCCAAAAAAGATCGACACAATAAGCAATTTTCCTATTCCTCAGACATTACGTCAATTAAGAAGTTTTTTAGGAATGACAGGTTATTATAGAAAATTTGTAAAAGACTACGCGTCAATAACTAAACCACTTACTAAATACTTATCTGGTGAAAATGGAAAAGTTTCACAACACATGTCAAAAAAAATAAAAATCAATTTAAATGAAGATGCAATTAATGCAGCAGTTAAATTGAAAAACTTATTATCAAACGAAGTAGAACTGGCACAACCACATTTCAATAAAAAATTTATTCTCACTACCGATGCTTCTAACATAGCAATCGGCGCAGTATTAAGCCAAGAAGGCAAACCAATCACATTTATTTCTAAAACATTAAATTCTACAGAGCAAAATTATGCTACCAATGAAAAAGAGCTTTACGCTATAGTATGGTCTTTAAAGACATTAAGAAATTATCTTTACGGAGTTTCCGATTTGGAAATACATACCGATCATCAACCCTTAACTTTTGCGGTATCTACCCGCAACCCCAATGCTAAAATGAAAAGATGGCACTCATTTATTGAGGAATTTGCCCCAAAAATAATTTATAAACCAGGAGCTACCAATGTAGTAGCTGATGCACTTTCAAGGCAATACTTAAATCACATTTCGGAAGAATCTTCCTCTATAAATACTCAGCACTCAGCTGAAAGTAGTGATAACAACATCATTCAAGAAACAATGAAACCCCTTAATCAATTTAAACAACAAATCCTATTGAGCAAAGCCTCATTTACTATCCATGAATCAAAAACGACATTTGGAAGAATTAAACATATTATTGAGTATGATACTCCTGAAAATTTACTTACTATATTAAAAGATTATTTACAACAGAAAATAACAACAGCAATTCATTGTACTATAGAGGATCTTTATGAAATTAAAAATATGTTACTAAACAATTTCAATACTAAATTCGTATATACAAAACTATTTCCAATTGATATAGTCAATCTTGATGATCAGGCAGCCATAGTAGAACAAACTCATATTCGCGCACACCGCAAGTATAAGGAAAATGTGAAACAAATTCAAGGCAATTATTATTGGCCTAAAATGAATGATCATTTCAAACAATTTGTTAGAAATTGTGAAATTTGTAATAAGAACAAATACGACAGGCATCCGCAAAAAGCACCAATTGGCGAGGCTCCAATTCCTAAGAAAGAGGGGGAGCAGATTCATATAGACATTTTTTTCGCCCAAAAATTAAAGTTTCTCACATGCGTTGACGCATACTCGAAATATTTAGTAGTCAAATTAATTGACGACAAAAGTAAACTTGATGAAAAAGTATTATAAATTTTTGCAAAACTTTCCTGATATTAAGAAAATAACTTGAGATAATGAGCCAGGTTTTACAACAGCTCAATTTAAATCTTTAATGCAAAGATTAAACATTCAGGTATATCACTACGACCCAAGGCATAGCACTACTAATGGTCAGATTGAAAGGGTTCATTCTACAATAATAGAAATTACAAGATGCATTAAGCAAGAATATAATTTAATAAGTGACGTTGAATCTATCTTCAGAGCTGTTCAACAGTACAACAAAACAATACATTCTGTCACAAATAAAAAACCAATTGATATATTTTTCAATAAAATAAATCATGATAATTGTCCAATTTGGACATAAATGTTAAGCTTATATTAATTTTTAGTATAAATAAATATCAATTAAAATAATTATTTGTATTAATATTTGTATTATTTGTATTATTGTATTCAGTATATGTATAAATAAGTATGTTAAATTAGTGTCTTATGTTGTTTTGGTTGTTGGATTTAATTGTGTTATCAAATATTTTAGCAATGTTGCTGGCTCTCACAACTAAATATTCGCACGCTATCAGCGTGCCAGACGTAACATGATGATCTTCACACGCCACTGTGCAAGGTTGATAGGCATCATGTTCGTTTTCTTTGATCGTGTGTTCGTTGTGAGTTGCAGCAATAGGCAAGCCGCTGCGACAATTCTGTTGTTCCCACAGGTGCAATATGAGTTGGCGCATGGCACAAGTGATAACACATTTAAGTCACCAAATTTGTGAAGCAAGTTGGTATATGGCAAAATACATATACCAGCTTGCTGACTGCATCAAATTGTATAAGCATAGGAAATGCACATATTTTCCACGAGTGTCCTTGGCCTTGAATGTTCAAAGTCCATCGGATAACAAATCGTGGGAACTAGGTGCATTTGCTCTTTTACCATAAGCTTAGTGTTAAGCATTTTGTATAAAAACACAATATTTTGTAATAAATCATTCATTCAATACAGAACAGCCCTTGCGTTTTAATTAGTTCAAGTGCTTATTAAAACTCAATTGCAAATAGGTTCAAGTGCCTAGTTGCTCAAAAAATATTGTTATTGTTTGAATCCACCTGAAGTTGGTTTTTTAAGTGCCAAATTCAGACCTTGCAATAGGAACTGGTTCAAGTGCCAGATTCCTAATCATAAGCAACACTGAATCGATTCAAGTGTCGATTCAGTTTCAATAAGAAACGACTTATTGAACATTTTTGGTGACCCCGACGTGATTCACCGTAAGGATCACGTTTTCATCAATCCTGTGAACCTGCTCAGAAGGATCACGTTTTCATCAATCCAGTGAACCTGCTCAGAAGGACCACGTTATCATCAATCCAGTGAACCTGCTCAGAAGGGTATTATTGCTGTATTTACAACCATGGAAGTCATGGCAGAATTGATTGCCAAACAATCAGAATTGGGAAAACAAATCCAACAACTGATCACTAACTTCAAAAAGGACTCAAAAGAGAGGAAGACATCCCCTCGATACTATGAAGAGCGTATTAGGCGACTCAACGAATTATGGGAACAATTTGACCATAACGACACACAAATCAGGAATTTGCCAGATTTGGATACGAGCGTTGCATATTTTACCAGCAACTACTTTCAAGAAATCAAAGAATTATTTGAAAAATATGAGCAGATTTTCGAAAATGAATTATCAACCAAAATACCTCCAACACCTTCCTCAAAGGAGTCAGCAACGACAGCACGTCAACCGATGCCGTCACCGAGGGAAGGACAATATAGCACAAGTATAACAAGAATGATACACAAGCAAGGTGCAATTTGTGTATCACTGAAGCGACTCATAGCAGGCATCAATCGTCAAACAGGCGTTCAGATGAAATCCTTTTATGAAGTGAATATGGGAAGAATTGAGAAGCTATGGAATGAGATTGAATCCATTAATTTTGAAATTTGGGAGTACACCAACAATCCGACTACAGTGGGATATAAACTCGATGAGTATCTCGAAATAGAAGAATTGGTTCAGTCAACTTTAATTTCGTTAGCTTCAATGAAAGCAAATAATGAACAATTACAACAAGGAATCAGTAAACCAGACAGCGCTGGGATATCACTGCCTAAGGTAACAATACCAAAATTCGATGGCGATTATTTGAAGTGGTGTCAATTCTATGATTTGTTCACCGAAATGATTCACAAGCAGCAGCTTTCTAACGCTCAAAAAATGTGGTATCTCAAAGGTAGTTTAACAGGAGAAGCAGAAGGTTTAGTCCGACACCTGTCAATAACCAACGAGAATTATCAAACGGCATGGAATTTGCTACAAGAACGATATCACAACAAAAGAATTATTGTAGCAACAATCATTCAAAGAATTCTAAATCAACCAATAATATCAACCAATCCTTCAGCGACAGAAATAAGGACACTCCATGATGTTACTTTTGAAGGATTGCTGGCACTGAAGAATGTGGGACTCGAAACTGATTCATGGTCGCCGCTACTGCTTCATAGTTTGCTCCTCAAACTAGATAAGCAGACTCGCATTTTGTATGAACAGTCGCTGACTCATCCAAGAGAGATTCAGTCGATTAAGGAGTTCATGATTTTCCTGGAATCACGATTCCAGTCCTTAGAGGCGATTGGTTATAGGGAGAAGCCATGCTCAGCAAAAACCCTTGCCACAACGATGGGAAAGGCAAATATATCAACCTGTAAGATCTGTAATAATGGATCACATCCGATATATTATTGCAAAACATTCTTGCAATCAACACCACAAGGTCGTATCAAGACAGTACAAAAACTTAGACTGTGCTTGAACTGCTTACGTACAGGCCATAGGGCAGCAGAATGCAAAAGTTCCCGGTGCAACAAGTGCAGCAAGAACCACAATTCGTTGTTGCACTTATCAGAGTCTTCCAAGACAACACACAAATCGATCAATGTCAAATCAGATTCATTGGTTGAGAAACCTGGTCATCAACCTTCTACTGTAATCACAGCATTAACACAAAATAAGGGATACGTTCTTCTTAGTACAGTTAATATGAAAATAGCTACGTTTGATGGTGATTTCATTGAGTGCAGAGCAATACTCGATTCTGGATCACAAATAAACTTAATCACAGAAAAACTGGCAAGAAAATTAAAATTGCAGTTACACTCATCACCGTTATGGATAGAAGGAATTGGTAGAAGCAAAAGGGACACAAAATACAGTGTGACAACAAAAATTCAGTCTCGAATTAATGATTTCAATGTAAATATCAACGCATTCGTGATGCCTCGAATTATCTCAGCCCAACCAACACAGTGTCTGGACACTTCTGGTTGGTCAATTCCTCAAAATATAAAATTGGCTGATCCAGACTTCGCGAATCCAAATCAAATTGACTTATTAATTGGAGCAGAATTCTATCACAGCTTTTTATCGATTGGTCAAATCAAAATAGGTGAGGGTCTACCTGCACTTCAGAACACGGTTTTCGGATGGATATGCAGTGGCAAAGTTAGCAACGGTAATCAAAAATTACTTACCTGTGGCATGTGCAGCGAAGCTGACGACGAAGCATTGGATAATATACTTACTAAATTCTGGCAATTGGAGGAAATCAATCAAACGGATGACAAATTCACTGATGCAGAAAAGAAATGTGAAGAATCTTTTGCTCAAAATACTCACCACAATCATGAAGGGCGATTTGTCGTGAAACTACCATTTAAGGAGGATACAACTGTTCTTGGTGAATCCATGCAGATGTCGATGAATCGATTTTTTAGTCTTGAACGTCGGCTGTTGAAGAATTCTGAACTAAAGAAGATGTACGTTGACTTCATGCGAGAGTATGAACATCTCGGCCACATGGAAAAAATCAATCAGGATGATATAATGCATCCACATTACATTTTGCCACATCATTGTGTAATCAAGGCAGATAGTACTACAACAAAGCTTCGAGTGGTGTTTGATGCATCTGCAAGAACATCAACCGGAGTCTCACTCAATGATATCATGCATAATGGTCCAGTCGTGCAAACCGAACTCTCATCCATTTTACTGCGTTTCAGGAAACCACGCTTCGTTTTTACAACAGAAAAGATGTATCGGCAGATACTAATTGATCCAAGAAATGAATATCTTCAAATCATTATCTGGCGAGAGTCACCAGAGGAAAACTTGTGCTATTACAAATTAAAAACGGTAACGTATGGCACAAGAGCAGCGCCGTATCTGGCAACTAAGTGTCTACAAACCCTGGCCAGAGAGCATGCCGTTAAATTTCCGCTTGGTTCCGCTACACTCAGCAAGGATTTTTATGTCGATGACGGTTTAAATGGCTCAGACAGTCTCACGGAGGCAATTGCAACAAAGGATCAACTTATTAAAATATTGGCGACAGCTGGTTTCAAACCTCGCAAGTGGTGCGCAAATAATGCCCAATTACTTCAAGGACTCGCTCCAGAAGATCAAGAAGTTGATCTCGATGTCAGCAGTGAGTCACATAAGACAGTAAAAACTCTAGGCCTTATCTGGCTACCAAAATCTGATCAGTTTTCAATAAAAACTAACGGACCTATACACAGCAAAATAACAAAGAGGACCGTAAGTTCCGAGTTGGCGCACATTTTTGATCCACTTGGATTAATGGCTCCCGTAGTAGTGAAGGCGAAAATATTTGTTCAAAGATTGTGGCAGTTAAAACTTTCGTGGGATGAAGCTCTGCCTGCTGAAATGCATACTCAATGGACCCATTTTCGTCAGAGCTTATGTGAAATAAACAATGTGAAGATTCCACGACATATATGTCATCATAAACAACCAAGGAATACTCAGATTCATGTATTTACTGATGCCTCCGAAAGGGCCTATGGAGCTGCCATTTACATCAGAGCCGAAATGACTGATCGAACTATCTCAGTTCAGTTACTTTGTTCAAAATCACGCGTCGCTCCATTAAAAACGCAGACAATACCAAGACTTGAGTTATGTGCGGCTTTACTAGGAGCACAATTGGTAGTAAAGGTAAAAAAGGATTTGGAATATGAACATCATCCGATATTTATGTGGACTGATTCTGAGATAACATTGCATTGGATCAATTCAGAACCATCAACATTCCAAACTTTCGTTGCTCATCGTATCAGTAAGATTCAGCAATTAACACTAAAGGAACAGTGGAGGCATGTCAATACTAAACAAAATCCAGCTGATCTATTATCCAGAGGTGTAGATCCAATTTACATTCAGAAGAATGCAATGTGGTTTTATGGGCCACTTTTCCTTCATGGAAATCAAGAATGCTGGCCCCAACCATTCCGTCAGGAATTGATAACATCCGACCATATACAAGCGGAAGTCAAAAGGAAGGTACATGTGCTTACAATTTCACATGATGATGAACTAATCAAAATGATTTATACGATAAGGCATGGAAACTCATTCATAAGGTTGCAACGAATTCTTGGCTATGTGTTGAGATTCATCAAAGGGTTACGTAATAAGAGCAAGCACAACGACATCAATTTGACACCATTAGAACTGGATGAGTCATTACTCATAATTATAAAAGCCATACAGCTAAGTGATTTCAATGAAGAACGACATCAACTCTTAAAGAAAAGGGATCTAAAGGGAAGCAGTAGTCTCCACGGACTTTCTCCATTTATCGATGATAGTGGCGTCATCGGGGTTGGAGGTCGATTGACGTCAACACATCTTACCTACGATGCCAAACACCCCATGCTGCTGCCATATAACGATCCAATAGCTAAGCTCATAATGAAACATTTACATGAGAAGGGACTTCACTGCGGACCGCAAACATTATTAGCCCAGTGCAGGCAGCGATTTTGGCCAATAAAAGGCAAGATTATGGCTCGATCCATTGTGCAACATTGTGTACAATGCACTCGAGTACGCCCACACATGTTCAAACAAATCATGGGCAATCTACCAGCTGACAGAGTCCAAGCTCAAAGACCTTTTTTCAACGCAGGTGTGGACTTCTGTGGTCCCATATGGATACACCACAAAATTAGAGGCAAAAGACCATGCAAAGCGTACATCGCAGTGTTTTGCTGCTTCTCCACGAAGGCAGTACATTTGGAAGTGGTTAGTGATCTCACCACAGATGCATTCTTAGGCGCTTTGAACCGGTTTACGTCAAGAAGAGGTCGATGTCAGAACTTATATTGTGACAACGCTACTAATTTTGTGGGCGCTAAAAATCAAATGAACGAGTTAGCTGAAAGCATTCACAGCACAAATGCTCAAAACAACATAATAAGATCCTGTTCAGCTCAAGGAATTGTTTTTCATTTTATACCTCCGAGAGCACCACATTTCGGAGGATTATGGGAAGCTGCTGTCAAATCAGCTAAATATCTATTGGTGCGAACTATTGGCAACGTGTCACTCACTTACGAGGAATTGGAAACAGTGGTAACCCAAATTGAAAGTATGCTGAACTCCAGACCAATAACACCGTTGTCATCAGACCCAAATGACCCGGCTGCCCTCACACCAGGACACTTCTTAATAGGAGAACCGCTAACAGCCCTTCCAAGTAGGTCAGAAACTACAACCAAACAATCGCTTTTAACCAGGTGGAAGCTGGTGAATCATCTAAAAAACGAGTTCTGGTCAAGATGGTCAAAGGAGTATCTTAATGAGCTACAGTGTCGCACTAAATGGAAGGACCAATCACCTGACGTCAAAGAAGGAATGCTGGTAATCATTCAAGAAGACAACGCTCCTCCGCTTCAATGGCCTCTGGGCAGAATCATCAAATGCTATTCCGGTAATGATGGAAGAATCAGAGTTGTAGATGTCAAAACGAAAAACGGGATTTGGAAGCGTCCAATACATCGGCTAGCACCATTATTGTCGGAAGATTGTTCAACCCCCATGATGCAACTTGGTAGATGTGATGAAGAAAAGCCTAGAAAACGAGCAAAACTCAACAGCAACATGCAATGTCCGAGGTCGAAGTAGCAGAAGAGGATTGACTGGCGTCAACGGGGGCAGAATGTCCAATTTGGACATAAATGTTAAGCTTATATTAATTTTTAGTATAAATAAATATCAATTAAAATAATTATTTGCATTGTATTTGTATTAATATTTGTATTATTTGTATTATTGTATTCAGTATATGTATAAATAAGTATTTTAAATTAGTGTTTTATGTTGTTTTGGTTGTTGGGTTTAGTTGTGTTATCAAATATTTTAGCAATGTTGCTGGCTCTCACAACTAAATATTCGCACGCTGTCAGCGTGCCAGACGTAACATGATGATCTTCACACGCCACTGTGCAAGGTTGATAGGCATCATGTTCGTTTTCTTTTATCGTGTGTTCGTTGTGAGTTGCAGCAATAGGCAAGCCGCTGCGACAATTCTGTTGTTCCCACAGGTGCAATATGAGTTGGCGCATGGCACAAGTGATAACACATTTAAGTCACCAAATTTGTGAAGCAAGTTGGTATATGGCAAAATACATATACCAGCTTGCTGACTGCATCTAATTGTATAAGCATAGGAAATGCACATATTTTCCACGAGTGCCCTTGGCCTTGAATGTTCAAAGTCCATCGGATAACAAATCGTGGGAACTAGGTGCATTTGCTCTTTTACCATAAGCTTAGTGTTAAGCATTTTGTATAAAAACACAATATTTTGTAATAAATTCATTCATTCAATACAGAACAGCCCTTGCGTTTTAATTAGTTCAAGTGCTTATTAAAACTCAATTGCAAATAGGTTCAAGTGCCTAGTTGCTCAAAAAATATTGTTATTGTTTGAATCCACCTGAAGTTGGTTTAAGTGCCAAATTCAGACCTTGCAATAGGAACTGGTTCAAGTGCCAGATTCCTAATCATAAGCAACACTGAATCGATTCAAGTGTCGATTCAGTTTCAATAAGAAACGCCTTATTGAACAAGTACCATAGAAGAAACATCATATAGAATGATTAATCATTTGAACAACACTTTACCTGATAATGGATCTGCTGAAGTGGAGTTAAAAGAAATTTTTTCAACGTAAGATTTTATTTAATTTTTGTGAGAAACTAACAACAATAGTTTTTTTATAGCTATGCTGTTGATATAATTGCTTCAGTTATATTTGGTTTAGAGACAAATAGTTTTGAAGACCCGAATAATTTGTTCCTTAGTGTAAGCCATAAAGCCAATGAACCGACATTAAAAGCTGTGCTTCGAAGTACTTGCCAATTTCTATATCCAAAGTAAGTACTGAGGAATGTACACAATTGATTATAAATTTTAAAATTAATTGAAAATTCAGTTTAGAAAAGTTCTTTGTAATGTTGGGTTGGACTGAGGAAGCACCAGAAACAATGAAGCAAATTGTACGTAAGACTATTGAATATAGAGAAAATAATAATGTTATTCGTCGAGATATGCTTCAATTATTACTACAACTCCGCAATACTGGCAAGATAAGTACAGACGATAATGAATGGTCCGTTGAAACAACAGCAGGTTAATTTAATTATTTTTAAATGTTGTTGTAAAACACAAACTGAACAGAATTTATTACACAGATGCTTTTAAGTCCATGTCTGTGGAAATGATAGCCGCGCAATTGTTCCTGTTTTATGTGGCTGGTTTTGATACAACAGCATCTGCAGTTTCTTTTACAATTTACGAACTATCACAATATCCAGAACTCTTAGCAAAAGCTAAAAAGGAAGTAGAGGAGACCTTAGCGAAGTATGAAGGCAAACTGAGTTATGAATGTGTACAGGATATGAAATTCTTAGATTTGTGTGTTATGGGTACATTTCACTAACAGCAAAAATATTAGTAGTTAGTAGTTATTATGATAAAAATTATTTTTAGAAACTGTACGTAAATATCCTGGATTACCCATATTAAATCGTGAGTGTACAGAAGATTATCAAATACCAAATTCAAAAATGGTCATTAAAAAAGGAACTGGAATAATTATTTCTCTATTTGGTATACATCGTGATCCAGAGTATTTTCCTGATCCATTGCGATATGATCCAGAACGGTTTCTAGAAGAAAATATGAACTACAATCCTGTCGCTTATATGCCTTTCGGCGAAGGACCTCGTCATTGCATTGGTAAGTAGTAATGAGTTTTTTTTTTGAAATTTATATGTATGTAAGTACTAAACTTTAATATATTTTTAATTTTTTTAGCTCAACGCATGGGTAAATTAAATGCCAAAGTAGCCCTAGCTCAAATTATTACAAATTTTGATATTAAAATAAGAGAAAAACCTTCCGAAATTGAAATCGATAATTATGGTGTACCTTTAGTTGCTAAAGGTGGTATAAATGTAAGTTTATCAAAAAAAATAAAAACAAAATAATTTTGTAAATACATTTAAATTAAATTTCTGTTATTTTTCTGTATTTCTGTTAAATTTCTGTAATATATTTTCGTTTAAATAAAAGATAAGAATAGTAAAACATCGGTATTTTTGTTTCTTCATAATAGCTTTTATCTTAAACCAAGTAACTTTTAAAGGTGTTAACTCACAGTTATTCACCCAAATTCTATTTATTTATAATACTCCGCTTAAAGTTTTTTCAATTATTGTTACGAATCAATATAGAAATTTTGTATACATATATTTTTATATGAACTCCGCAAATGTAAGATGACTAAATTCAACTTTTCTCTATTTACAATAGTAACAACCATATGAATGTAAATATGGTATCGGATTTGTAATCTGAACTCTCGGAAACCTATCCTTTGACGTGAGTTTCAAGTTAACTTGTCAAAATAATTTCGAAAAATATAGTGGCAATACATTACAAAGACCATATACACCAGATGAGGTTGTGAGTAAACCATCAACATATGTAGATGGTAACTACTATATATCCATATTTAAACCAATTAGTCTCACTGTTAGTAGTGATAGGTATAATAAAACTGTAAAATATTTTTCGGTAAAAATTTAATAAATAGTTTTGATAAAAGTAATGATCTTTCTTTTTCATAGATTTTAAGAACTCTCAACATTTATTTTGTTTAATTAAGGTTCATAAATTGAAATTAAAATCAAAATTAATAAATTCATTATTTAAAGCTAAAAACAATTTAATATCTAATAATATTGAAAATAATAAGCAATATTACAAGTTCTCGCCATATATTTATTTGAATTTTAGATCACTAATGCTCAATGAGTAAATTTGTTCTTGTCTCAGACATAATCCATATTAAAAATAAATCAAACGCTGAACCAGGTATACTTGACCTTTTAACCTTTTAGTTTCATATTAATTACGTCAAAATGTTCACAGAGAAAATAGAAGAATAGGCTAAACCATCACATTTTATATACCACAAAGAATATAGAGGGCTTTTAAAACTTCCGACAAATGCCATAAAACTGAAACTTCTATAGAAATCACAATTTCTGAAAAAGTCACTTTATGGTAACAATTTTGAGAAGTTGCTTTCCGAGATACTATATACATAACGACTACATAGCCTCAACCGGTAAATTAAGTTTTGGATATAATTTTATTATGCGAAAATTGATAACGCTAAGCTCAGAATTATGCAAGATATTTATATAAAAAAAAACTATTTTGCAAGATCTTATGAAATTTAAAAATATTATCTATAAACTACAAGTACATGCAATATTAAGATTTCTAATCTTATTATTTTGATGTTTATTTAATATACGAAAAGTGTGCTGTAGGTAAAAATTTGTTAAGTCATTTTCTATATTGATAACGAATAAAGTAATTATTTATAAAATTAAAAAAAATAATAAAAATAATTTAATCTGATTGATTGCGAAATTTTAAATTAAAGCTCTTAACTTAATTAGTAACTTAACTCAAAAGAATATAGTATTATTGAAGAAACTTCTTTTTATAGTTTAAAGAAAGTCGAAATGTTAAGGTATGATACCGTTAAAAGTCATCATATTTTCGTCATACCGCTATATATCTCTAAACAAATATTTATATCCCTTTGTTTCCACTTCAACTTTATTGATATGAGATGCACAATTAGCAAATAATGTAAATAAGAAATTTTCATGAAATTAATTTGTATGTAGATAATTTATTTAGCGTTATTCAAGTCATAATTATCATGGACTGACTACATTAACCTCTTTATGTTAATTTCTTCTCTATGGCTACATTGGCAAGTGGGTAGACAATATTTCTTTACAGGGTTCCTTAACGATACTCAATTATCGACTAAGGGTGCTGTTTTACTCACTATTTAGTTAATGACTAAAATAATATGCTAACATGATCTATTGTAATAGACACTTCCTTGAAGCGTATTAGAAATATAGTCATTATTAGATTATACAGTGGAATATTAATACCTCGAATTTCAAGGGAAATGCTAGAAATTTAGCAAATCAATGAGTTTAACAAAAATTTTGATGTATAAAGCATTTAAATCTTAACACTTTGACCTAGAGAAGCATAATTTCTATGTACATTTTTTTCTAATTGTAAAGTCACATTTAAATGAACGCAAGATTTATGATAGATATTTATTGAAACAAATTATGTAGTAGTAGTATTAGTGTAGATATATATAGATATCATTATATTTTACTAACTTCGACTATGGAGTCTATATATATATATTATAAATACCTACTAGGAAATTCTATTTTTTCCAGTTACTAAGTCTAATTAAGTATTTAGAGGCTCAGCAAAAAGGAATGACAATTTTTTGTAACTTACAGAATTACTACTTAACGGGATTCGAGTTATCGAGAGTCTACTGTATTTTTAAACATTCTTTATTTGAAATAAACATATCCAGCTTTACGGAAAACTTAATTTTACTATATCCTGAGTAGTAAAAATGTGAAACCACATTTTTGATGTGAAAACAAGTATGGTAATTAAAGTGGTATCCTATCAAAATTCGTTGTTTTGACCTAAACGAATAGTTTGGTAGATAAAGTGAAAGATGGTTTTGTTAATTTTTATCGGTGTAATAATAATCAATATAAGGTAGGGAGAAGCTTAATATTTTTATATAGTTCTGTGAAAGTATCGTCTATAACCTGAAATGTTTTCTAACAAATTGATTTTAGATAATATATTAAAGTATCATCTTATTTGTTACCTCCTCTTATATCTCTATTACTAAATGTCCCATATGAAAAAATAATTTTCAAAAGACAATATCATAACTTATAAGCTAAGGTCTATTATTAATTCAACAACTGCAGAATATAATCACTTGTCAAAAATCTATGTGACGACATATTTATTATAATAACAATCTTATTGGATTTTCGCAGTTTGTCTTCATTTTTGTTACCAAATCTTTAGTAACGACAATCCATCTAACGACAATCCATATTCAAAATAAGTTATGTCTGTAGAAGTTTTGTGGAGATATTATCAAAAGAAAGATTTATAATTGGTGGTTTTGGACTGAAAATGATATACCTACAAGCTTAATGCATGTGTGGCGTATTGGATTACTCGTAGAATCTAGAATCGATAACAAACAGTGGTTGATTTTTTTTACCTTTCATTAAAACAGGTATTATTCCAAATATATCCTACTAAAGGAATATTGAAAGTATTATGTTATAGTCGTGAGACTTCTGGTAACTCTAGTCCTTCTTATCTTAAGAATAATATTTTGCTTGGTAGGTAGAACAATAAGAACAAATTAAAATTCCACATTCATTATAATAAACTTTCTGCAGCTTTTTCTTTAGATTTTTTCGCTCATTGATATAGTTTATTAGTAATGTATTATTAATTCTATATTGTAGCTTTTAGTACCTTATTGATGAAAAGTATCACCGAAAGACCAAGCTATAAATTATAAGATAATTATAGACTTGCAAACGATTAAAAATGTGGTTAAATAACGATATAAAATTATATTAAAAATAATCACGATCTTTCTAGACACTATTGTATAAAAAGACTGTCGTAAATATTTTTTTAAATTATTGTAACATAT